TTTGCTATTACCACGTGGAAAGTTCTAATAAGTTTATTATTGGAGAAATATTTAATTGCCGTTCTGCCTTGTCGAAGCCTGTGGCGTTTTAATGATTTTTAAACATTCATCGTCTCTATCAAGGCCTGATCGATGGGGTTTTGCACCAACAAGTTTTCACCACCGCACAATAGACACAGTTCAATAAAATTGCGATTGTTTAAGTGTCTTCTTCAAGCGACCTTTCCATGGTAGATGGGTTATTGGGAGAGGTGGTTTTTGCAGGTCGAAGTTTAGTATTAGTATTAGTATAGTTAGCGAGCAGTTTTTTCTTGCAGTTTCTGGAGCAAATGCCGCTCTAGAAGCTACAAAAGTCTCGACTTTCAGCCATCATCAGCAAATTTTCCAGAATTCTTCAAGATTGCGTCTGGTTTTTGTTGGCTGGAGCTTAACATTTTTTTCCTCTGTAAGTTGGAAAGTAAAAAGTATTTTTTTTCGCATTTCGGCAGGGCAAAGATCATTCTAAAAGCGACCACAGTTTCAATTGTCAAGCATCATCAGGCAATTTTTTACAATTTTGCAAAATTGCTTTTGGTTCACGAGATTATTTTTGCAGGCCGAAGTTTGGCATTTAGTTAATCAGTAACTAAAGAACCAAGGGAGCAGATTTCGTAACTATTTTGTAGGACAGAAACGGTTCTACAAGTGTCAAAAGTTCCGATTTTGTTTGGTTTGAGTCATCCGCAGACAATTTCCAAAAATTTTTCAAAATCGCATCAGATTTTTGGGGCGGTTTTAGTAGGCTGGAGCTTAGCATTTATTTCCTCTGTAACTTGCAAATCGAAAAAGTCAATGTTTGCAGCATTTTGCAGGTAAAAGTTCATTCTGTAAAAGGGCAACGTTTCGTTTGTTAGCCATCATCAAGCGATTTTTAACAACTGCAAATTTGCGTTTGGTTTACGAGGTGGTTTTTGCAGGCCGACGTTCGGCATTTATTTATTTAAGAACTAATAACGTGAGAGAGAAGTTTTTTGATGCAGTTTATAGGGCAAATGGCGCTCTAGAAGCTACAAAAGCACAAATTTTCCGCCATCATCAGAAAATTTTCCAGAATTTTTCAAAATTGCATCTGGTTTTTGTGGTGGATTTTGTTGGCTGGAGCTTAACATTTCTTTCCCCTGTAAGTTGGGAAGTGAGAAAGTATTTTTTCCGCATTTCGGCAGCATTTTAAAAGTGAGCAAAGTTTCGTTGGACAGCCATCATCAGGAAATTTTTCACAATTTTGTAAATTTGCGTTTGATTTTTGAGGTGGATTTTGCAGGCCGATGCTTGGCGTTTTTTTATTTCAGAACTAACAACGTGAGAGGGCAGGTTTTTATGTGTTTTGAAGAGAAARTTCCGTTCGACCAGTRCCAAAAGTTTCGCTTTTTGGTCATCATCAGSAGATTTTCAAACATTTTTCAAAATCGCATCTGGTTTTACTGGATKATGCAGGCTGGAACTTAACATTTTCTTCGTATGCAACTTGGAAAACTCAAAAAGTCGACTTTGGCCGCTTTTTGTACYTTAAATWCCSATATAAAAGTGAGCCATATAAAGTTTCGRCCCATATAAAGTTTCGATTTTCAGTCAATTTTCATTCGGGATTTTGCAGGCCGGAGCTAATATTATTTTCTTATGTAACGTTGAAAGCGAGGAAGTCAAAGTTTCGATTGCCCGACATCATGAGGGTTTTTTAACAACTTGTGATATTGTTATATCCAATTCGATTATGGCTACTCAATAAATTGACCAATAAATTGCGGAAAGGCGTGTAATGCGGGCATCAAA